GTCTTATTCACAAATATCTTTGACATTATCAGCAGTTTGATTTAGACTTAAACATTTTTATTAAGAATATAATGAGAATCGATGAATATTGTTCTCTATAATAGAGAGACCGCATAGCAGATGCACGCGGCAAACCAAAGTGTATGAATAGCGGTGCACTTTGACTACAGCACTTCACACAGTTGGATAAGTCAAATCGAGTCAACTTTCTTAAGATGTTTTCCTCGTCATCGACAGATCAAATTATTATGACTTTAATCATTGTGAACAAAACAAACAAGTTGTTTCTGCAAAGTTTCCCAATAGTAAAAAAAAGTAACTAAAAAAGGGGTGGGTATGCATGTGTTATGATGGCGTGGGTACGGACACTAAAAGCAACAACACTCTCCCCACATCTTTCTCTCACTTCTAGAGTCGGTTTAGACGAGATAAAAGACCATCCGGATGAGACCATGAGAAAAATGACATGTAAGCGGTCTTTAGAACAAAATTCATGAGCGTCTTACATTTATTTAAAAGTTTGGGGAAAGCAATAATTAGTTGAACACCAATCGAGAGATGTGAATCGGTCGCAGGAACGATAGAACGCTATGACAATTAGTCGCAGTGTACAATTGGCTGCATGTCTGACAGAAGTCTGGATCGTATTTCACTTGCTAGAAATCTCAATTTCTACAAATATGATTCAATCACACTCAATACCTTGCAATGATGAGAGTGCACTTGAAAAATTAAGATTTGTTACCCTGTAATGGATTCATAGATCGGCTCGCTGGTAAATGACAAGGAACTCTTGGCATCTATCTATAAAGGGTGTTTCATAATAATTGATGATAAATTGTTAATGACGTTTTTCATACATTTTCTTGATGTAGAGCGCTGAAATTTTTATCACTTATATATCTAATCAAGATCTTTGGTCTATGAATGTTTCACCTCTCTAACTACAACTAGTGATGAAATACATTGACAGGATTGAAATACTTGAATTTTCGTGCTCGATTTTTGCATTATTTTCACAGCCAAAGTGAAATGCTCAAAACGAGTACGAAAATTTAAGTGTTTTAATCTTGTCAACGCATTTCACCATTAGGTATAGTTAGAAAGTTGAACTTTCGAAAAAGAAAGATCTTGATTAGATATATATGTGATAAAAAGTTCAACGCTCTACATCAAGAAAAAATACGAAAAACATCATTAACAATTTATCATCAGTTATTATGGAACACGCTTTAATTTATTGAAATGTTCAGAAAAGACCATATCGATAGTCGTCTTAAAATAGCAAAAATCGCGGTAAGCGAAAGCACAAAAATAAGGCAAAATTATATAGATTATGAGAACAAATGTGGAGACCAAGCGTCCTTTTAAGACTTCTTCATTTACGTTTTCTTTCTTCAAAAGACGGTTCTTATTTTTATTTAAAATTTGGCTCAGATATCATACTGAATCAACGTGCACAAAAAAGAATTTAATCTAATTACGAGAATATGAGAAGACAGAATGGAATGCTATTTGTCTGAAAATGTATTTTCTCGCAAGAAAACTTTTTCTGTAAGACAGCTCACACGATATGGAATCTGGAAGCCAGACGTTTGCTCTCTGACGTCTCGGGTAACTTTCATCAACAATGATTCAATATCATCCTGCGAATGTGTCATATGCTTCAGTAGAGTTTCCACGAAAATACTATTTCTGCCGTTATTTGTATCATCAAGTGCTCCTTTATCAGGACCGCAAGAATAGACAAGTAGAGTTTCTGGTGGTGCAATCATTGGTAATAAACCTGTCATAAAGTTGGCTCGCATTTTTTTCATTCTGCAGCAATCCAATATAAATATAATAATACGAGGAGCTTTTGAGTTTATTCTGTGTAATATGTTTTGAGCATTGACAGCGTTGTTAGCCAAGTAAGACTTCTCATCAATGCTATAATCATAGTCATAATCAGAAGATAGCAAATAGTTTTTTTCTTCGCACTGTAATCCATGCCCTGCAAAATATAATAGAATAATATCTCCTTTCTGCACCGTAGCAACAAAATTGTCAATCTTCAGCGTAAGATCCAGATAGCTGCAGTCGGTTCCCGATGATATATCGAATTTGAAACTGCGCAAAGTATTGCTTATATCTGTAGCATCGGCTATACACGTCGTCAATGAAGATGCGCCGTCCTTGTACTTATTAATACCAATTACTAACCCCTTTTTATGCGAGCGAGGAGCAGAATTCTTCTTGCCTAAAATTTGAGAAAAAATTGCTTTTACCTAATGCAGGTATGGTTGTGTGGGTGTGGTTTCGAGTGAGAGTGAAAGAGTGGTTACGACAAGAGTCACACCGACACCACAATCACACTCACATGCTCATATCCACACTCACACCACTATAGCCATATTCTATCATACCAACACGACTAGATGGCATCCAACCACCATAGTCAGATCGTGCCACATCATTATAATCAGAGCCCACTACGTCACTGATGGTAGGTTCTGTCTCACCAGAATAGTCATACGATCTGGCTGTTGTTTTCGGCCTCGCACTCATATTTGATTGTGCTGCTAAAGCTGTTCCATACGTACTAGATGAAGGTTCTTCTGAGGAAGGCATTGATTGTTTTGTTCTCGATTCGCTAGAAGAACATTCTTTAAATGTAGTAGCCGGTGCCTGCATATGTTTTGGCACGGTGTCTGACACCGAACTTAATAAAGTTGCAGTTTGTGAAGGAACCTTTGAATGAGATTCAGAGTTCGATTCTGATCCATTCGAAATGGGAAGTTTTGGCTGCCATAACTCTCCTTCATAAACGATCCACTTGCTTAAGCATGTAATAAAATTACTTGCATAGACGCGTGTGACCCATTTCTGAGGCAGCT